CTTGAAAAGAGGCACTCACCAGTGATGAAAGGGAGGCGTTTACGAAAATGGGAAATAGGCATCTGTTGACGGAAAAGGGGCACCCATCAGATTTTAATAGGGTCATTTATAAGAGGTGAAAAGGGGATAGGTCCCTTTTTAGAAAGGAAAAGGGGCACGTATCATTATTAAAAGGGGAATTATCAGAGTTGCAAAGGGGCACTGACCAGATATGAAAAGGGGCACTTATGAAAATGTAAAAGGGGCACTTATAATAAAGGAAAATATGCATTTGTTGAATGAAAAGGGGGCACCGTTCAGATGTTTAAAAGGGGCAGTTATGAGAAGGGAAAGGGGAAGTTGTGAGAAGGGGAAGGAGCTCTCTCTTTTTAATGGGGGCACTTATAAGGAAAAGGGGCACTTATTAGAAAGGGAAAGGGGAACTTATGAGAAGGGGAAGGAGCTCTCTCTTTTTAATGGGGGCACTTATCATAAGGAAAAGGGGCACTTATTAGAAAATAAGAGGGGCACATGTTAAAATGAAAGGTGCGCTCATCCGAGTTTAAAAAAGGGGTAGTTATTAGAAGGAGAAGGGGCACTTCTTACAAAGGAAAAAAGGGGAAGTTGTCAAAGTAAAAAGAGCACCTCTCAGTTTTGAATAGGGCAATCATCAGAGGTGAAAAGTGAAAAGGGGCACTTCTCGTACCTGAAAAGAGGCACTTACTAGAGATTAAAAAGGGCACTTATTCAAGATAATTTCAAGATTCATGAGAATGGAAAATGAACATTTATTGCAAAGGAAAATGGGAACATGTCGAAGGAAAAGGGGCACGTGTCAAAAAAAAAGGGCACTCGTCAGAGGTGAAAAGGGGAAAGGGGCACTTTTACTAAGTAATAGGGGCACTTGTCAAAGTAAAAGGGGCACCTTTCCTATGTAAAAGGGGCACTTCTTACAAAATAAAAGGGGCACTTTTCCTATGTAAAAAGGGGCATTTTGGGGGTATCTGAAAAAGTGGGGGGGGGGGGGCATTGTGCCCCCCGGGAAGGCCGCCTCTGCCGTCAGCAGTGGCTATACTGCGCCGGTAGTACCGGTGTGCACGCTGACGCCCAATAATTGCTGGAGCTGGAGACGATCGCACAAGGACTTAAACGGGAGTATTTTTTCGTTGTGAAAAGTGTGAATCCTCTGAAATCTGGTGATTCTAAAAGACCAGCAAATAATGTAACTCGACCAGTAAATCAATATTGAGAAGAAGAAGACCAAAGATGTTGCAGGGGCGGATCTATGCGGTTAAGGGGGTTTAACCCCCCCCCTCTCCCCCCTTGGGCTGCCAAGTGAAAATGTGATGTCCATAGAAAAATGCTATCATGTGTCCAGACCTACACAGTATTAATAGATGTCAGTAGACGCCAGGAAAACATCACTAACGGGGGTTCAAAAAAGCACAAAAAAATCAAGCAAATAAAGTTTATATATTTTACATCAAAATATTAAAAAATATAGAAAATTGCAAAATACAATTTAAAAAAAAAATTGCAAACCAGGTTATAAATAAGGATTTGAACATAGAGAATAACGAAATGAATAAAATGTATATGATACAAATATGTAAATACCATATATCCTAATTGAAGCAAACAGTATCCCAATTTCATGGCGATATCACACAAAATTAAAGCCATATCAATTTGAAGGTAATACAAAGTTTTTGGAATTTTTGAAAATTGAGTGGATAGTGATTCTTTACAATTTTGATTTATTTGGATGCCCCTGTGGATGTATTTTAAGCACTAGAAAATTTAGCCCCTACAACACTAGGCATAAATAGTCCGTTTTGACTGAATTGCCGTAAAGTAGATAATCACTGATTTTAAAAAACGAACTTTATTTTCATTATTGCAAATTTGAACCTTTGATTCGACAAGGTTATCAAAATTCAATGCTTGGAAACATTCGAAGTAATGATTATTATAAATTACAAAACGCTGAAATACAGCCCCGGCAAAGCACATGAAGAGCTCTCCAAACGCTGCTGAGATGTGTGAGAGCACAGTATGGACATGATTTGCACAAGCAGACGATGTCCCATGACATCCCACACATTTTCAGTGCCTGTGTTTTCATCTTCTCTTGAGTTCTTTCTCTTACTTCTCTACCGTCAGGCTTAATGTATAATCTATTGCCTCACTCTAATGGTTTTATTTTTATGACAAATGCAACGGTACAAAAATAAAGGAATCTGTCACTTGTACACAAAATAAGACGCCACTGTATATTCAGATGCACACACCGCGGTATGTTCAGCGTTTCAAGAGGGAACAAATGCCAGGCTTAATATCATTCCGGGGGGGGGGGGAGGGGGTTCAATTTGAAAGTCTGGTCTGTTTTGATTGTTAATTAATCCCTAGCCTGTGTATTTACAAGCAAAAGATTTGTAGTTATCAGAATCGGGTCATATCCCCTTTTGAATGGTTTGACATGCCATTACATTTATATACACTAAACTCATTATAATTTGACAAAAAATAGCTTTGCAATTATGTTCATTCTTCATGGGATGTCGTCTGCTTGGGCAGTATTGGTCCATATAGTGACGTCATTAAACATCGTTATTTTTCCGGCGAATATCTCGTATATCCCAGCTGCTATGGAGGTGGTTGTATTTGTATTTTTATAAATCACCCGATATGTAACTTGTACGATGGCCATCTGTTAGCTTACAAGTTTCTAGTGATACATAAGTTGACATATTTGTGATCTTCTTTGAATTTCACCTTTAAAACATAATCTAACAACAACAACTTCTGCTTTTGAGAAAAATGACTATCAAATAGCGCCTACGGCCGTACAATGGTAGCTGCGCCATGAATATCTCAGAATATGTTGTGATGAATAATTTTCAAACGGGAATAGCTAATCGGTCGAGTTTAGTCAAGAAACATTATTTCATAGCTTAATTAATATCTTGACCTTGAGAGGGAGCTATACAACATAAAGAGTTTATTATTGAAAAATTCATAACTTCAGACTCGATTTCAACTGCGACAACGATCAATGAATTTGATAGGATCGCATAAGCTTCCAACATGTTTATTTGAACCAAATTCACGACCCCATACCAAAACTTTGTATTACCTTTATAACTGAGGCTAGTCATTTTTTTTTTATTTCGCTAGTCAGACTAATATACATGTATATAATAATAATAATATTGCATGGCTTTGTTTTCGTGTGATAAAAGAATATCTTGATCTCGCTAAAAGACAATATTAAACTCGTCTTTGACTCGTCTAATTGCTCGAGCAATATATTCTTGTATCACACTCAAAGCCATCCAATATTATATAATTCAGTTCTCCATGCCAAATGGGAATACTGGCAAAACATGTGAAAGATGGGTGTAAAACAACAAATTAAAGATGCATCTAAAAACTCTAAATCAGCTCCCCCCCCCCCCCCAGTCACGTTAGCGTTAGACAATTACAATAATTTTCCTAAAGATATTGCAGTATAATCATAAATTTTGATGATAGTAAAGTATACAAGTAAATTTCAACCTAATAAAGAGGTTTAACCCTTACTGAACCGGGGGGGGGGGGGGGCATTTTCACAATTTTGGAGAATTTTCAAAATATCGTTTTCAGGACTTTTTTTTCACAAGTCTTATGCACATTTTGATACAATTTTCGTCGAAATCGGATATACATGTATACATGATATACAGGTGTGACATAACAGTTAGCATTCGCATATCATCAAAAAGTGCTATATACTTGCATATATTCATGTACAAGCAGAAATGTGAATTCAGGTTTAGATGCTATTTCTTGATAAGTGGGATATATGAATTGATATCAAATTGCGATGATATGTTTCTCAAAGTAACTTGATGTATTGCGGAAGAAAAGAATACATTAGAAATAAAACAATAGATATAAGATTTTTTTATTTTTTTTAAATGATGAATTTTGAACTTTTTTCCAATTTGAGCAGTGATATGCAGATGGGTAATGAAAAAATATTATTCTACAGTGAGAAAGTGGTTGAAATGATAGTTTTGGGCCTTGCGTATTCATAATTTATGCTAATTAAATGCATTTCCAAATATCATTAAAATAATGAAACTTCATGAATTTGAAATGAAAGGAATATTTGTTCAATACATTTTCAAGATCCTTCACAAATCTGTAGAGTTGTCTATAAAACGCATGAAACTAGCATTTTGCATAATTAATTAGGCTATAACGACAAAATTTGCATATTGGGGAAAAAAAACTCCAATACACTGTGTGAGCGCACAGCCCAGGTAGTGACTCAAAACGTTGATGACGAAATGTTTGCGCGCATATTGAAATGGCGGCCTTAACGGTAAAAGGGTGTATAATACCATCTTTTTCCATAAGTTAAGTGAGTAGGCGGTGTCACACAGAAAATCCCTTACAAAATCCCTTGAAAAATCCTTTGAAGGGAGAATTTTCTTGCTTCGTTTGAGGATTTTCAATGGGATAATTGGTGACAGACAGCAATAACTAAAATCCGGATCTTTGGCCTCTGTGTGACACCGCCTACATGCACATTTTTGCACATTTTTGTGTTCATCGGACGTTCGACAGCCGAGATTATGGGAGAGGGTTGGCTCCCAGGCCCCCACCGCTGGCGGTGTCAATTAAAACAAAAATAGTGCTCCCCCAATCATCTATCACTCAAGGGCGGGGGGGGGGGGGATGTTGAGTTAAGAAAAAAAGTTTAAAAAAAGATGGTAACCATATTTTAACTTTTTTTTGTGCTCAAGGGGGGGGGGGGTGTGAAGTAAAAGACAAGTGCTCTCCCCCTCCTTAGTCCCCCCTGCTTATCACTGAAGGGGGAGGGGGTGTCGAGGGGGTAAATAGTTAAATTGGAAATAGCTGAGCAGTACTGATATTGTCGACTAATCAAATATATATAAATGTACATGTATATTAGCCTCAACGTTCTCAAAATTGCGATAAATTCATGATGATTTTGTATGATTTATTCTCAGACCAAGAGATAGGACTTTCCACCACTTCTCCAGGTGTTCCCTCTAGAGCTCCTACGACGATACCACTGCAGGCTGCTAATTTTTCTATAATCTCCGTAGCCTTCTCAATATCTCTCCTCTTCAATATCATCATTATCACTTTGTGTCTTATTTTCAAGTACCGGAAACGTAAGCACATTTGTTTTTATTGCATTCTCAAAAGCTATTTACATTGAATAATTATGCTCAGATATCCATGTGGTTTGTGGGATTGCACCGTGATGTTGCCCTCAAGATTTTGGAAATCAGAATCTAAAGTCATATCAATGTTGTTTTCTAAGAAGATAAATGGAAAATAATACTGTAACATGACTTTCCCTAATTTTAACATTATATAGAAATGTTAAAAATGTTTCTATGTAGACATAGTATAGTGAGCTGTACTACCAAAGTCCACATTTTTAGGTGGTTTGCGCGGCGATACAGATTGCGATATTTCTATTTTTTTACTGTTATTCTTATTCTTATTCCTTTTCCCATTCTGTCTCCTTTTCTCACCTCATCTTATCTTTCATCCATAGCTTCATGTTAAGTAGCCGTAAAACGGCAAGTATTCAAGTATCGCTTGGCATGTGCACCGCGACCAATACACTCCCAAAATATATCAGTTATCCTCAAAACAAGCAAAGATTTCAACAGACACCGTGCGGCCATTTTGTCGCTGGAAAACGCCATCTCGGCCAAACAGGCAGAGTCAATGGCCATTAGGTCGATAGCACTCATAGTCATAGTCTATTCCCACAATGGAATTACGTGTGAATAAATTTGTCCCCCGATAGTGAACTTTTTGCTCAAAATTAACTTTTTCGACAGATAGCAAAGACATTTTTGCATTTTGCACGAAGAGAATTCCCCCAATTTTTTTCCCATTTTTTTTTTGAGGGGGGTGGGGGTAGACAATCTGTCTTCCCGGGAATTTTTTAAAATGCCATATGGAAATTATGATGTTGAACGCCCCTCAAAAAGTCATGACAATAGATTTTTGTTTACGGCCCACCACCTCACCACCACATACACGCACACACACACACAGGAATTCTCTGTTGGAATACCTCATGGGGGTCATTCCATTTGGGGGTGATTATGACTGCGTAATATCTAATCATCTTTTTTTTAAACACTAGACGTAAATATCGCGATCACTTCCAAAGTAATTATGACATGTCCACGTTGAGGCTTTTAACAATTTGTTTTTGTTTATCCTGGATGGCTGATATGACAACAAGGTGTCACGATGGACGAAACATATCTCAAATCCTCCGTCAATAACTATGGGATGTGATTTTCTTCCAAATATCCATGTTTGACTCCTTGTCCTTTTTGTTTCACTTTAGTTCGCAGGTGATGTAACATTCTGATAGCTTTCGAGACTGACATAGCCAATCTAGTGAATCCTCGAATAGGTGTCAGCTTGCCCCGAGACTGATGAGTCACAACCGCCAACGAAAGGAAAAAAATCAATAAGCTTAACATTGATCCAAAGCAAAACCTAAGTTTGATTAAAATTGACATCGGAACGCACCATATTATTTAAGATTATATCCCACATACTAAGAATCTTGCTCTACGATTGGTCAAAATTAAATCACGTGATGAAAGATAACTCACCCATTATTGATGGGAGAAGCAAAAAGTTCGTTACACTGTGTAGATAGTACTACTATCTACACAGTGCAACGCACTTTCATTGAAGATAGAGGTACTATCTACACATAGTCCAGTAGACGGTACCATATACATGACCTGGAAAAGTTGATAAGTACAAGGTTTTTTTTGTTGATTTGTGTTCTAGATGGGTATTGAAGTAAATTCAGCTTGGTTGCCAGCTTGGCAACCTTGGGCAACTTTTTTAATAGCCATATTAGCATAATCATGTAATTAGCATATGTGCAATATGTAATAATGTTGCTAATCTCAATCCAGGAAGCCTGAAAACATGGATAATACGACTTTTCAAGGTTTTTAAATGACAAGGAATTAATTTATGACACCAATTTTTATCTTTAAGTAATACAATTGTCTTAAATAGCATAATTAGCATAATATGTACAATATATGGACTTCATTGTCATTGTTTATCTATAAAGCCTAAAAATGGTGCAATGCAACATTTTAAATCACTTTTGAAAGATTAATCATTAATTCATGAGAAGATATTTCCATGTTTATGTAGTATAATTAGCCTAATTAGCATAATCATCTAATTAGCATATATGTGCAGTATGTAAAAATGTTGCTAATCTTAATCCAGGAAGCCTGAAAACATGGATAATGTGACTTTTCAAGAATTTTCCATGACGAGGAATTCATTTATGACACCAATATTTATTTCTGAGTAATGCAATTGTCTTAAATAGCATGATGAGCTAATTAGCATATGTACGATATATGGACTTTATTGTCATTGTTTATATATAAAGCCTAAAAATGGTGCAATGCAACATTGTACATCACTTTTGAAAGACTACACATTTATTCATTAGAAGATATTCCATGTAGATGTCGTATAATTAGCCTAACTAGCATATACACTGTATGTGCCATATGTAATAATGTTGCTAATCTTAATCCAGGAAGACTGAAAACATGGATTATATGACTTTTCCGGGGTTTTCCATGACGAGGAATTCAGTTGTGACACCAGATTTTATTTTTAAGTAATGCAATTAGCTTAATATGTAGTTATTGTACCAATAAGCCTAATTAGCATTTATAGAATATCAATTATTTGGGACTCTATTTAGCTTCACAAATTGTATGTCCAATGTGGCGGTTATCTTGGTCTTATTAAAGGCAATGTTGTCGAACCTCATGAAATGTCTATGAAATGACGGGGTCATCATACGCATCGATGGTTGGGCTTCAGTCATTGGATTTAGAGTGACTGACGGAAACAAACTGAAGATGGTTAAAGCAGATGATAATGATGGAATTGATGATGTGGTGAGACGGGTACGTACATAAGCCAGGGATGTTGAATACAACAGTGCGAATTATGATCTGTTTATGTTTACCAAAGCCAGAACCATTGAGAGTACAAGCCCGACATTGCTCAAGCTGGTGGCAGAATTCCTGAAAAAGTCATATTATCCATGTTTTCAGGCTTCCTGGATTAAGATTAGCAACATGTTTACATATTGTACATATGCTAATTAGGCTAATTATACTACATCTACATGAAATATCTTCTCATGAATTAATGATTAATCTTTCAAAAGTGATTTACAATGTTGCATTGTACCATTTTTAGGCTTTATAGATAAACAATGACAATGAAGTCCATATATTGTACACATGCTAATTAGCTCATTATGCTCATTGTGCTATTTAAGACAATTGCATTACTTGGAATCAAAAACTGGTGTCATAAATGAATTCCTCGTCATATAAAACCCTTGAAAAGTCGTATTATCCATGTTTCCAGGCTTCCTGGATTGAGATTAGTAACATTATTACATACTGCACATATATGCTAATTATATGATTATGCTAATTAGGCTAATTATACTACATATATATGGAACATGTTCTCATAAATTAATGATTAATCTTTCAAAAGTGATTTACAATGTTGCATTGCACCATTTTTAGGCTTTAAAGATAAACAATGACAATGGAGTCCATATATTGTACATATTATGCTAATTATGATAATTAAGACTATTGTATTACTTAAAAATAAAAAAATGGTGTCATAAATGAATTCCTTGTCATAAAGAACTCTTGAAAAGTCGTATTATCAATGTTTTCAGGCTTCCTGGATTGAGATTAGCAACATTATTACATATTTCACATATGCTAGTTACATGATTATGCTAATATGGCTATTAAAAAAGTTGCCCAAGGTTGCCAAGCTGGCAACCAAGCTGAATTTAGTTAAATACCCATCTAGAACACAAATCAACAGAAAAACCTTGTACTTAACAACTTTTCCGGGTCTGAAAGACTTCTACAGGACTAGCAGGGCAACGCACTAAAACAGGCGTAATTAAGCGCGCATTACCAATGAGCGCAATTAAAGAAAACACGTGCGCGCACCGTACCCTCAAGGGGTTGGGTTAAACTTAGACTTTTTTGGTGTGAATTTTGGCCTAGGTGTCTTTTACGTAGATGCATACACGTCCTTTTCTTTTTGTAATTAAATTATTTTAGATGTGGAATATAAAGCAAATAATCACCTTTTCGTTTCAGACGATGGCAAACTATCACTTCCTCGTCGATCAGAATGTATACGCTATCTTTCCTCAGCTTCGCTTCGGAAAGATAGCTACATCCAGATCGCCTCGGAAGTGATAGTTTGTCCCATCACCTTCACAAACAGTTATTTGCTTAATAGATGACAGATAATCTTGGCTGAAAGTTGTGGTGTTGATATAGACCATTTTTTTTAATATGACAGGGGGGGGGGGAGGGAGTGTTTGAGGAAATTTGCATACAATTTATTTGATAGCTGAAAATTATATTCTTAATTTTCCAACAGGGGATAAAAACTGGTCGTCAAATTTGTCATCAGGTGTTCTTAAGAGAAAAACAGAAAGGTCAATAATTTTCATGATTTGCCAAAACTATATACAAATGCAGCATCCGCAGACACGATTTTGTAATAAGGTTATTCGTACCCCCTCCCTTCATTTAGAGGAAATACTGATAAATGAAAACATGATAGAAGTAAATAGGGTTACAAAATGATCACTTTCGCTGCCTCATATTACATTGATGATGTTGTGCGACTTTTCAAATGTTTCTTTTTCTCCATTACATACACGATCACGATCGCAAACGCTTACCCTGAAAAGAACAGACTATTCCTATAATACCATTTACACAAATTTGTACTGATGTTTTTATTAACCTGACTGCTAAGAATGCATGTGTATACTTGTAGGTAAGCAGTCGTGGGACCGACCGCTTTAAGTCCTCTCCGAAGGACTTGGTAATGAGTTTTAATGCCTTACCAAAGGGCACCAGTCGTATATTATGTGTTGTGTATATTTTCTTATTTTTACCATGTACTTTGTCACTTGCCTACAGGGCTCCCTTGAAAAACAAGCCTTGCGGCTCTGAAGGGACTATCTTGTACTTTAAAAAAGACTGAATAAATAAATAAATAAATAAACTCGATCATCAAC